TGAATAAAGTTGAGCTCTAAGGCAAAATTTGTACCAAGTCCAGTATGTAAGGGGTGAATAAAGGTGAATAATACAATATAGGTCATCCAGACCAAGTTCCTAGAGTCACACTATGTGACAGGTGACACAGCGTCCCAAAAAGGAACTTTCGTTAATAGAGATTAGAGTTGGTAGTTTTAGTGACTATTTCATATGGTTATATACTGTAATATAGAGTGATACATATAGGAAATTTCCAAAAAAGGAAATTTCCACAATTATCGCAGAATGTCACAAATTGTCACAAAATGACAGTTCTCTATTTTGACTATACATACAAACAACTTTCATTAAGTGATGTATAGTGGCAGCTGAATAGTAGTATCAGAACTGTCCAATCACTAGCTGATGTTCACACCGGGCACAATGTCAATGGCGGTTGGCAGATGGCAGTTTGACTGACACCCCATGAGGCAGACCCAACGGCGGTTTCAACGGGAGTCAGGGTTCCTTTGTCTAAACTCTTTGTCTAAACTCTTTGTCTAAAATAGAGTACATCAAAGAAAAGCATTTTATTTATGCTAGTACAACACGTCCTAGAGGTCTCAGCCCGTTTGGCAGCTGTGTGGCAGCCCAAATCAGCAGTTCTGCCAACCTTGTCACGGTGCGCCGTGCTGTGTTCCAAGAATAATGCCGTGGCCAGTGGCACTGGCCACAGTTCATTGCCGGGTATCCACCACAGTGACCACCCGCCATTGGTTACATATATATACCAGCCCCTCATTCCTGCAAACACACCGAATATAGGCCCGGGGGGCTGGGAACACGCCAGCATCAGGCTCTCCTGCGCCCACGTGCGATCTCCAGCAAATCCTAAGCGAAAGGATCCAGTCATCGTGCCATGCGCGGTGAACACGCGCCCGGCATGTTGGCCGTGGCGGACCGCGGTCCGAGGAATCGCACGTGGGCGCAGGAGAGCCTGATGCTGGCGTGTTCCCAGCCCCCCGGGCCTATATTCGGTGTGTTTGCAGGAATGAGGGGCTGGTATATATATGTAACCAATGGCGGGTGGTCACTGTGGTGGATACCCGGCAATGAACTGTGGCCAGTGCCACTGGCCACGGCATTATTCTTGGAACACAGCACGGCGCACCGTGACAAGGTTGGCAGAACTGCTGATTTGGGCTGCCACACAGCTGCCAAACGGGCTGAGACCTCTAGGACGTGTTGTACTAGCATAAATAAAATGCTTTTCTTTGATGTACTCTATTTTAGACAAAGAGTTTAGACAAAGAGTTTAGACAAAGGAACCCTGACTCCCCGTTGAAACCGCCGTTGGGTCTGCCTCATGGGGTGTCAGTCAAACTGCCATCTGCCAACCGCCATTGACATTGTGCCCGGTGTCAGCAGCATCATCAGGGATCTTGTGAGCAGCACGTGTCCCAGCACGAGAGGACCAGTTCATAACACTTGCTAACAGGTCTCCGCGTGAACTTCTCGGAGCACTTGAAACCACGTTCCAGCAGTTGCGGCGCCGAAAGCTCCACTTCGGCGCGTATCAGGGCCTGTGTTATGCCAACACCCACTGGAGCTTTGGCATCACGGATAGCACGAAGGGTGGTTGACACGGAGTCGATGATCATGGGGAATGAAGTGAGTAGACAAACTCGGCCAGTTCCTTGAATGAACTTGTGTGACTGTGCTCTCTCTAAGGTCTTCAAGCTCCATTGATTCTGGCCCTTCTCTCGATAGCACGAGGGTGTGCCTGCATGTAGCTTGGCAAAGCGACCGTCTGGGAAGTCTTTCTGCAAGAGCCGAACTGCTGGCTGCAAATCCCAACCAGAGCGACGGATAGCACAGTCGATGTCGGCAAAGAGTGCTGGGTGGAACCAATTTGTTTCTTTTGGCTTTGCGGTGGCCACAAAACCTCCCTGCGTTCCGTCACGGCCCTTCTGCCATGCCTCTCTTGTCAATCCATGTGACATTACTGCGGAGTCGATAACGATTGCCGGACCAGCTGCAAGTGCAATGGCGTCATCCTTCAGAGCCTTGGTCATCGTTCTCTCACCCTTTTTCGAAGCTTGTTTGGACTTGTGTCATTGTCGGAAGTTTCTTTGGTGGATTGCCGCTAATGCCTTCTCCCTTTCCTTCCCCTCAGCTTTCTTTTCATTTTCGGCAGCCAAAATTTCGTCCCGTTTTCCTAGCCACCTGTCTCGAGCCTTTGCCTGGAATTGAGCCCGTGCCTCGGGAGTAGTGCTGGCCAAATATGATTATATTATTTTATTGGCATAATATATTATAATCATATCATATTCAGAGCTCCAACACAATAATATATTTGTAGTATAGTATAATCATATTCAGATGCAAAATATGAATATATTATGAATATATTCAACTATAATCTAGTATGCATATCTCTTGATATATTTGACATATTTGCTGCTAGAAAAAAATTAAAAACATAAGATACATGCTGGATCGTCAGGGCAACTTCCTTTTGGGCCTCTCTCATTCCAGCCTTGGATACATAGGACCCTCAAAATACAATCAGGGGTATTACCACCAGGATTAGGTTGGTCAGTAGACACTTGATCAGGGGTTCTATACTATGTTTAATAGGGTCAACCCAAAATGATCACTTCTGACACTTGTTCCTACTAAGAGTAATGTATGAATCACTATATACAATGGATAATATGTGACATTTATTGGAAGTAGGGCTAACTCAGACTAAGATTAGTACCATGACTGACCACATGGACCGAGAAAATAGCGGTGATCATCCACCTGGCTATAGTTGAATATTCTATGACTATAATGTAGTATAGTCATAATATAATATAATATATTCAAACATAATCATATTCGAGTGATCCGCCAAGGGCATAATATATTCATAATATTCTGAATATATTCAATATTTAATCAACCATAATATAATTCTGGCCAGCACTACTCGGGAGTGTCCCAAGCCTTCTTGAACCCGAATTGGAGCAGCGACCCCTGGACACTTGCACCATCGTTTTGTTGGATAGAATGTTGCCGGACTGGTGTGGGAGTTGGGTCAAGCTCACAGGTATTATTGTCGTCCTCCGAGATGTCGATGGTACGCCGCTTCTTTTTTCCAGGGAGCGGCAGTGACTCATCGTCACTAGTATCCAACAGTTCGATGGGTTCTTGTGAGGCTGATGAGCTGGAGGTGTTGGAGAGTGCAGCTGGAGGGAGGTTGGGAGGTGTGAAAGCGGGGGCCAGGACAGGAACACGAGTTTTAGAGGGCATCTTTGCGCCTGCTTCCTTCGCAGCTTCAACAAGTCTTCCAATCCACGCATCTGCCCATGGTTCATGCTCCTTTGGATCCATTCGCTTCATCGCATCTTTCAGAAACAGAATCAGTGCGAGTACTGATGCACCACGCTCCCGAAAGCGGATTTTGCCACAACTTTCCGGCTGATGCAGTTTGAATGCAATCTCAAGAGCACGGCTAGCTGCTGCAAATGCCCCGCCATCTTCAAGAACATCTGAATCAAGAGAAAAGGACAGTGCTTCCGAGTCATCAGCGGTGTCGCCAGTTCTCTCAGGAAGGGTAGGTGGCAAACATTGGAGGAGATCTTCAAGATGATAGATGCGATTGAGAATGGCTTGTGGGGGGCCTTTGGATTGTTTGGCAGGCTGTTTAGATTGACTGAGATGCTTCCGCTTAGCCATTTGTGTCGTGAAAAGTAGTCAGATAATTTGGTAACACAGATTTATTCTTATTTTACTTAAGTACTGTATACTAATCTGAACAAAGCATTAACCTCGCATTGTGGACTGTACAAAGCACACTGTTTCAGTTGCTTGGACTGCGTAACGCATAACGGTGCACCTGTTTCGTGTTTCACTTGGTCTAAGGTATGTAACGGTACTTGGACTGTTTCACTCTCCACAGAACGCGACAGTATATGAATAAGTTATTGATAGCAGGTGACCATTCTTAGCTCAGTCATAGCTCATCCATAGTGTTAAAGAGCTGAAAGTGAGTCTATAAAGATATATATATATATAGATGTATTCATGTGAAGTTTGTCCAAAATGTCAATTTCTGCGCCGCTTTTAATCCCATCATTGGTCACCTGATTCAAGATCTTATCTTATCGTGGGAATATATTACCGGATATAGCAAGGGGAGGGGGGAGGGGGGTCCTGGAGGGTTGGAAAAAAAGAAATCCGACCCTATATCCGGGATTCGAATCTTGAACCCCCCTTGGGCCAGCTGCTCCTGCGCAGTGACATATCGGCTGTCGTGCAGTCCTCCCGTTGCCACCAACTCGGCCCAGAGTAGTGAAAACATTGCTGCTGACATGCCCAACTCTGTTTGAACGCGGTTTGGATTGCCGGTTAAGACTTCATCGAGCCAGGCACAGCCTGTGAGGATGGAAGTGTGGTATGGAATGGGTGCTGGTTTTCCAATATTGAGCAGCTCGTGGGTGAAGAAGACAATTGCTATGAGCGCGGTAGCAAGGGAAGAACGGCGTCGAATGATGATGGGATTGACCAGTCGCTGGCGGGCAACGTGGAAAGGCATGGAGAATTACATTGAGAGGTACGAGGACAAGCTATATGCTATGTGTGACACCTTGTCAGACAGCAGTCAGGCGGCTGTCCGAGTTACCGATCAGGCTCTAAGGGTCCGCCTGCTAGGGCGCCAACTATATACTGCCTAATACTTGAAAAAAAAAACTCATTACAAAAAAAAAAAAAATTAAGGCCCACTGGGGGACCAACCGGCGTCATGTGCATTGATGCCATCACGCTTCCCCCCTTCGGAACGAATAATGGCCTTAATAAGGTCATCGTACATTTTGCATCAATTATTTGATGGAGCCCAGTCTATTATAGCTATTTATGATACTTTTCTTAGGCTATCCACAGCATTATAAATGAGTAGCAAATATTATTATAAATATATAGTATTAGTGGCATGTCAAGATCCTTTTAATCAAAGTATCAAGTACGAAGCAGCACCTCTCTCAACGTGTTCAACAAATTTCCCACTCCTGCACGTCTACCTCAGTTAAAGCCTTCCTCACCGCTTGCAGACACTCCTCTTCCGTCGGTTGGGCCGAATCCCCTTCATCTGCACGCAGTGATTCCGCAATTGCGTCCAGCCGCTTGTGGATATCGTTCGCACCAGCACGCCGCCGGACCGGCACAACCTGAATCAGTGTGGGCGACTCCTCATGGTTGCCCGCGACAAGCGGGATGGCGACGATGAAGCCCTCGGCGTCGTGCTCGACGAGCCGGCCCAGCAGGGGCGCATACGGTTTAGATTGAGTCGGATCAGCGTCTTGGTGGCCGACCGACCACTGGAGCCTTCCTAAGGGATAGAGGAAGCCGATCATCCGCGGGAGGTGAAGGTATGGCTGATGTTCCGGCGCTGGCCGCCGGATTTGCTGTAGCACCCGCGCGTACATCAGTTCACGATGACGCGCGTAGTCATCACGGATGAGGGCACGGAAGAATCGGCGGTCGACCGTGCGGAATTTCTGTCGTTCTGCTGTTGGGTCCGGATCAGACGGACATATGACCTGTAACAACAAGACAACGGCGTACCCTCCGAATGAAAAGACCACCTTGAGCAGTCCGCACGGTGCCCTCCCTCGAGGTAATCTGTGCGCTGGCAGGGCTTTGAGCAGTAGTAGACAGCGCTGCATCCGCTGCATTGGGTAAATTCGTGTCTGGGGCCGATCTTGACGCACTAGGACAAGTGAGACTATGGCGAGATCGTTATAGAGGAGGCAACCCACATGTCGGTTGGCACACGCCGCAGTTCGCGGGGTTTCTCTCTGCTTGAAGGCGGTGTACACCTCCATCCGCTCGTGCACGAGGCCCGTTAAGTTGTTCCATAGCTGTATGAACTGCGGGTCGGCTTGTGCCAGGGCCTGTGGCACGAGAGACCGGGCCGCTGCGAGCGACGCATTGAGTCCCGGGAGAATTGACGCGTAGAGCGTCCATCGCGGGAGCGATTGTTGAAGCAAGTGGACGACCGCTGCCTGGACGTCCTCCTGCGGGATCACCGCGTGCACAAGCAGCATTCCGATTAGTGGGCCGCGGCACGCGTCGATGAGAATACCAACGTTCTGCGCGTGGGTCAACAAGTGGAAGATGTTGAAGAATGTTACGTCGAGCAGCTGAGACACCAGTCCGGGGGCCGACTTGGCGATGTCGTTACCCCCGTTGACGTAAACCGCGGCACCTATGAATTCGGGTATGAATCCGGCCGCGAAGAGCGCCTTTTGGAAGTCGGGATTATACGCCGCTGCATCGCGCAGCAGGGCCTTGAACGACACCAGCTGCTCGAGTGTGGCGTATGCGAGAGGGGGGCGCTGCGTCATAATCCAACGCATGTGACGGATAACAAGACGGGCGAGGGCGTCCCAGCTGCCCCCCGCGCCTAGGGCCATGTCAGGGAGGTTCTCGGGTGTGACCTCGGCCAGGAGGCGACACACAGCTCTCAATGCGGTGGTCACATTGTTGTCGAGGGCGTCCACCCATGCTCGCCCGACAAACACCCACAGCTGCGGCGATGGTGGCGGAGGAGTATTGGCGGGCATGGCCCGGAGAATCGCAGAAACCGCACTGGCAAGGGTAATGTATCGGTGCTTTAACAAGTTCGCCAGCGGCCGCTGCGTAAACTTGAAGTCGACGTCATGGAAGAGTTCATCGATCACCGCAACCCAGAACCACAGCCGATTCCACAGTTCCAGTAAAGCCTCCAGAGGCATCCCACCCGTCGTTCCGCTGATCGCACGCGACAGAATTGCTGTAATAGCCTTCGCCGTCGTTAACGGGCGCTCCAGGTATGGTGCCACGTCTTGAATGCTGCTGTGGCTTGCGTTGTATAGCGGCTCGGCATGGTCGGGGTCCAGCGCGGCCCAGTAGATCGGTAGTAGCAGCAATGTATCGAAGCTTGAGTGCAGCCGCACCGCGAAGAGCTGCGTGAAGTCGACGAATTGGGCAATGGTCCTGTCAACGTTGAGCGCACGGCGCGCACGGACCTAGTGCAGGTGTGAGCAAAAGAGCGATTACACTCGCAGAGACGAACCCGATGATAAACCGGAAGCCGTTCCAGCTGGGTGAGGCGGAAGAGCTGGTGCATGACGGGAAGGGGAAACATTGGAAGAAAATTTAAAAGGGGATCGCCGAAGGTGATTGATGTGAAGAGTGAGGATATGTGAATGTGTCTGACTTGGTGACGTAATGTGCCGCCGCGATGATCGCCCCTGACCAAACTTGGACCAAACTGTAAAGAATTTGAGCATGTGCCAACCGGCAAACGGCATCAGCTAGATAGTGTAATTTGTGGATAGAAACATTCCATCTTGAGCGCTAGTCATATGACTTGTGTTTTCAAAAATGAAACGTCTCTGTAGTTTCCACGATACGGTCCCGGCGCGGCATCCACGACTGCTGCTTAAACTCGATGCACACCATGCGCCGATTCTTCGCACCCGACGCGGTCAGAATCCTACCACACTCCGCGACCAAGTCCTCTACAAGCGCGTCTGGGACAATACTTCGCACCGTCGTGCCGGCGTCGCAAGTAAACGGTACTCGTTCCGTGTAGCGCAGCGTGAGCTGCTCCAAATGCCGGAATCGGCACAGCGCGAGGCCTTGAAGGCATTCCTGTCCCAAGCTGAGATAGGCGTCATCGCATGGAAAGGAGGTGCGCACCTTCGTGATCCCCCCCGTAAGAGAGAGATATCTTAGCTTGGGAAAACCTCCAGAGAGCGCTGGAGACAGGGCGTCAATACGGATATCGGGCAACTCGATGCGTACCGCGGGCAAGCTCGGGTAGCATATCGATTTCATTGCTGTAGGGAAGCCATATGTTGTGCAGTCTCTCGATGTGGGGGCAGTATTCAGCGATCAAGCGCAAGTCGCCGACTCGGATCTGGATGGCCATGTCGCCCATATTGAGGGCGGTGAGGCGGGGAAAGGATTCTAGCGCCAGGACAATGTCGGTGTCGTTGGTGTCGGTTGTTAGGTCTTTAACGCTCGGGAATGTTTTCCCATCAAAGGCCGTCTTCATAAGCGACGCGCAAAGGTTCTTCGCGGAGCCCGCCGAGGCGCGGATGCCGGTAATGACTAGAGTGACCAGCCGCGGGAGGCACTGCAAGACGCGCGCCAGCTCGACAACGGGGTGCCAGTTGTCCACCGTGCACTCGTGAAGTGTGACAGTGAGCGAGCTTCAGTACGTCAGCGTCCGTAGTAAAAACACATTGCCACCCACCGAATGTAGCCGTGCACATCCACCGCCCTCCTCAGCGCCGCCAACTTCCGCTCCGCCTTCCGCTCCCGGCGGCGGCCAGTTCCGCCATAACGCCCCGGTTTCCGCGGCTCAAAATAGAGAGAGGCATCTCGCCACAGCAGTGGCTGGAAGACCGCCCTCAGATGGACGCACGTCTGCGCCAGTGCGCGGAGCGTGTCCACTCCTGTGTAGTCATTTGCTTGGGTGCCCAATGGCATGGCGTCCGCTTGCAGAGGGCAGTACAACGCGGGGTAGTACCGCGCAAACTCGGTGAGCAGCTCGTTCGGAAGGTCACACAAGCTTGGCATGTGGTGGAGAGAGGAAGAGAAGGATCCGCTTATGTCACACAAATCACACGATCCGCTGACGAGTCATTGATTCAGTCAAGATTCAGTTGTTTTCAATTATGACATCAAATTTATTGATTCCTGCTCGACCTCCGAGTCCAGCAGCAGCAGTGGAATACTAGTAGTGCTCAGGTAGAAGATAGCGACTGGTTCGCCATAATTTGTGAGAACATCTGGAATGCCGCCTGTCCCACTGCAAGCGATCCATTCTGAAGACATTCAAGTTTCAGAACACGGCGAATACGATTAACAAGTTTAGTTGCGCTACACACCTTGTAGGCGGGGACCTCATGGCCGGCACCATAGATGCGAATGTAGGAGCTATATAAAGAGGTCAATTTGGCTTCAAGTTCCACCGAAGACAGAGCTCACAAGGTCCCAGCATTCTTGAACTGCCCCGCAAGGAGGCCCTTGACCTTATACGGAGCAAAGACTTGCTGCTTGAACGTCGCGCTGAACTTTGTGTTCAGCGAATCCACCTGTTCCCAGCAAGCAATTAGTCCCGAACAGACGCATTATCGACGAATCTCACCATCGCTTCGACGCCGTTAAAGTTCAGGATGTAATCCTAAATTTAAAAGCACCTTGTCAACCTCAACTCCACGTGTAATGCGAATACTCACCGCGTCGCCGTCGTAGATAATCACCCGCACGCCCGCGTTGATGACCGTCTCGAGATTGGGCAGGCTCGTGCGCATCCAGTCGCCCGTTGCCGCGAAGTTGTCGTACACATTGTCATTTGTCTCCTGCCAAGTTACCTCGCCGCCAACCTTGCTCCTAATGGAGGCGAGATACGACGTGATATCTGGTGGGTACGGGTCGGGGTTTGCTGTCGGGACGTAGTACACCTGGGGTAGTGAGGCAGCATTCGGGGTAAGCGCAAAAGGGACACACATCCCAGTTGCCCGCAAGTGGAGAGAGGATGTTGTTGTTGCAGTTGCTCTGTGCCGCGGAGCATACCGAGTTGGACCCGCCGGCATTGCACGCCGTGATCTTCCGCATATCAATTGAACGACTAGAAACATAGGAATGAAGACCCACCCGCGCTTTGCATCCGGTGGAAGCCGTATTCCACGATGTATTAGCCCGTGAAAGGACACTTGAAGAAACAAGTGTGTGGTAAGGATTACTCGCAGCATAGGAGATATATCCAGGGTATTGCGCAATGGGATCCTGGACATGATTAGTGGTATTCAGCGATAGAGCGGATCCATGGACCATACCGTTAGCCCGTCGCCCACTCCAAGGGTCTTGAGATTCAGCTTGATGCCGGTGATCGTCCCAGCAGCGATCGCGGCATTTTGCGAAAGGAAATACGCCGCAAATGTCGGGCCGTAATGACCACCTGTTCGAACTCTCAACACACATCTACTCCCGGGACTAATCACCAACCGTAAGACTCAGTCCAGATAGCGAGGTCCCGCGACGCAAGACTAGCAAAGCGTGAATCCTTCAGGAATATCTGCAGGAACGACCAGACGTCCGCGGCAGCAGCCTGAGATGTCCCGACGGACATGGTGCCGTGCGAGAAGCCAACGCCGACAGGCTGGTCGATGAAGAGCATGTTGCTGTTCGTGTTCCAGGAGAAAGGGTTCAGGCTGACGGTGGCCGAGTCGTTGTTGATTCGGCAGGGCCCGAGCTCCTGCAGGAGGCCAATCATGCTGGAGCTTCCGGGCTACAACAACAAATGTTAAGCTGAGGGGCTTGCATTGAAATAATGACGCACTCCGCCGTTGAACCATAGAGAAAGAGGCGCTGTGTCGGGGTTGTTCCGCGCGGCGAAGTACCAGAAACTGTGCAAGCATAAGTGTCATTACAGAACGAGTCTGAGAATAGGCACAATATGCTCTCCGACGCAGTCAAATCGCCGTAGCCGGATGCTTGGAAGACACCTGGCGTCGTTTCTGCGTCGATGTATTGATAGTCAGCGGGGACGATTCGATGCGGTGACTCGAACAGCAACGCACCACATATACCAGAATTCTCCGTCACCCGTAATGCCCCCGGCGTCGTGGCGAACGGCGTTAAAACTTGCTGCTCGACGATTGGAGCGCGATTCTGCGACACCCCGCCAAGCACGCCGTCGCGGGCGGGAATCTGGCCAGCGAGGACAGAGAGCCCCGAGAATAATATCGGCGAGGAAAGTAGTCGCATGACAGTGACTCTTCGGACGTGGGCCGCTGTATTTTATGTGCAACACGCAGGTTCCCAGCGAGCCGGGTAGACATCGCCCATCGCGGCAAGAGGAAGGCGATTCGTGCGAGCGACAAGCGCGGATGGAGCATGGCGCAGTTGAGAAGACTTGTTTTCCATGCGGGCCCGCAGCGATTTCATAGTTCTCCCTCATAAAAATAGTTGGAGAAGCGTGCGATGCGCTATTATAAGGCCTTATCGACTGCGGGAGATGGTCGGCGTATTAGGCGCGGTGTGGGTGCATTCGAGTTCGGGACCGAGACGGTGATGCAGAGAGTTCGAGCGGACGGAATATCCGCCGTGCAAGGGCGAAAGCAAAAGGAAAGTGTGCCACGTCAGCGCGTCGTCAGCCGACATTTTATCCAAATTTTATCCCAAAATCTGGCCGCAAAAGGCCACATTGATGTGCCGTCATCGGTCCGCCGAGACCGGGATATATTTGACGGATCCACGTGGACAAATCACGTCACCTTCCCCTTCTTTTTCGCATCTTGCTCGGATCCCTCCACCCTCATGGGCCACGGCAAACCCCCCACTGGGCGCCGCACCCAGCAGGACCGCCTAATGCAAGGCCGCCCGTCAGCAGCAGTGGACCTTACGCACGGCGCCTTGTCGGATTGACTGGCCTCGACTTGACGGAACCGCACAAGCACCCCAACTTTGGTGTGCATTAGGCATTTATCCTTTCATGTCGATGCTCGCAATCTCAATCGTTGGCGAAGAACAAGACAAACGCCACATGAATCACTGCGGGGGTAGGGCTTCTCGTCCGCTCATATATCGATGTTGCTCATACCCACTTAGCCAGACTCTACCTCCACCTCCGGAAGGATGACTTCGAGCATAGCTGCTCTTGCGATCCTATATTACCTTGGTGGAGCCTACGCCGCACCAATCCCAACCTCAACAATGGACGGACCGGTGCGACTCGGGGGAAGACGCAGCAGAGATTCACGCGGCGAATCACGCCCCGTCTTGAGCTCAAAGAGTGGGGCATTAGCGATAGGACCCATCATCGCAGTTGCAGCCAGTGCGTTATAACTCTCCCTCAAACATCTTCTTGTTGATCATTGCACGCAGCGGGGTTCCTTGTGTTGCTGCTCTTCGTTGGCTATCATCGTCTTCGTCGACAGCGACGGGTAGCTACAGCTCAGCCAAGCGCCTACCAGCCTCCGCCTGAGCCAATCAATGCAATGGATCTACTGAAAGATTCCAATCGTGTTTCCTTCCTTATATTGGGAGGAGATCGTGAACCCTACACACCGCCGGTAGATCGACCGCCACACGTCCGTCCAGTTCTGAAGCTGCATATACCTCGCAGCCTCCCGAAGCTCAAGAACGGTGGACGGAGGGGCCTGGACAGCATCGATGCCAGTCCGAAAGAGGTATGTTCTCTGCGGGTCAGAGTGCTGTGTTGACTGCCTACAGTCTTCCGTCCCAAGTCATCTATGGAGTTCAAAACGTGCTCTCTCTGCTTCTCATGTGGGGCTAGCCGAAAACATCGCGCGAATACCGGATTTGACTGCCGACATTCGAGCAATACACGTAGACGAGCAACGCACCCTACCAACGCGGCCGTTGCGCACCTATGCGATAGTTGGTAAGGTTTTCGAAATCCGCAATGGAGCGCTGATACTGATAGAAAATATAATCAGGCGACAGATTGAGCGACATGGGTTCAGCTGCGTCTGCCAACACGATAACTTCGATATCGCTTCCTCTTCCACCATACTCACCAAGTCCATCACCTAGGGCAGACACTCCGCAATCTGCCAAACGGAGCTCCTTTCAAATTTCCCTCTCAAGCTCTCCACCTCCGGGCCTATTTACACGTTTCGTCACTGACGGATACGCCCAACGGCTTTCCGCAGTCCGTAGCCCACGAACTGCCGTTCGTACATCAGTGCCCGCACGCCCTCTGCCCGTCCCTCCGGTCGACCTCATCCCCTCCCCTCAACCTGGAAGCCACTCACGACTTTCGATTACCCGTGCCTTGCAGACGCCGATGTACACGTCATCGTCGACAGAATCGTGGAGCAGTACCGCAATGCTGTGGCAGAGTTATCTTTCTTCTGTCGTCACCTCTGGTGTTGTGGAAGATTCGGCCACAGACGCAGGCCAAGGAATATCAGAGCGCTCATTCGTTACTGCGACTGTGTCGAGCGCGAGTGACGGGGCCAGTGGGTGGACGTTTGGCACAGGTCCTCTGGACATGAATTCCAATTTATCGGTGGCCCCAAGCAGTTTAGATGTCAACATTCTCACCGGGCGGGAATGGTCGGAATAACAAGGTTTGAAGGGCGGAAGGTTTAGACGAATACTAAATGTAATATGTAATGACTGGCATCATGATATGAACAGCTGTGTACATAGCCTCACTGTCGCTGACCTGTCGCTGGTCGACGCTAAGCTTCTTGACTCCCACCATCTCTTGCACCATCTGCACAACCCACTGGCAGTGTTACTCTCATGACTCCAAATCTCAGCACTGGGCACTCAGAGTCTTCCCATAAACCAACTCCAGAGAATGCTGTTGATATGCCCAGAACCCTGATATCCGGAGGGTTCTTTTCCGGAGCCAAGGAGTTCACTATCACTGGCGGCAGCTTCATCAGTCACATCCACCAGAGCACTCCAAGCGCACAAGGTATGTACTGACAATGGATCTTGCGGTGATATTTAGAGCCATGTCCTAGATTTTCGACACCTCCCTGTCGGCGACCTGGATCTTGAAGAGCAATTAGATCTTGGATCCATACCAAGGGCAAATTTCAACCAAGTGATGTTTTCTGTGCGGGTCAATGGTCAAGTTATGACCGCATTCATCTCCCGCAAGAAGCTGCAGGACACCACATATAATGAGGTGGTAAGAAAAGCATGGCTAGAGGAAATCCAAATGTCTACATGGCTACGGTATGAAATTCTGCGAGGTTCAATAGCACCTTATCTGATTTCCAGACACCCGAACTTTCTCCAGTTATATGGTATCGCATCTGATCATACCATGTATGCCACTATATATCATGGAGGTGTGTACCCTTTGTTATCCTCGACAAGCCTTCAAGTAGATTGATGAATTCCAGAATTTATTCCACTTGGACAGCTGGATCAACAAGTGATAAATCCCCAGGAAAGGATTAAGATGCGTCTTCATCTGGTATATCACATGTTGAACAAGGCAAAAGTAGTGAAAACTGATCACTTTGATAGAACACTGCATTTCCAGTGAGATTTCTTCAGGTTCAGCTCAACATAAGAATAAAAAACACAACTTTTACAGCCTGCACTTAGATTTGCCCAAGAAAAAATTAATATGGATGCCAGAAAATATCCTGCAGGTCCTTGTTCTAAAACTTGTGCCTATTACTAATTCAGGTACTTAGAGGATACAGTTCTTTTTCCGGGCCTCAAGTCATCGGCTCTGTGTTGTAATTCACAGGAGATTAGATCTACTTGGGGCTGCTGCCGATACTTATCCATTAACATATGAGTGGCAGTCATTGCCCAAGACATTAACCATATCCCCCTTTCAGCACACTTTGACAGCACTGGTACAGCCTGAGCCTCTGCAGGCACTACATGGGGTGCTTCTAGAAACTGCAATAAAATATCAGGACTCTTTGTCATGGGAAATGTTTCCATCACCCCTTGTTCCAACACTCTATACAGCTTACCCCGGTAGCTCATATATTCCCCTTGCTATTATCCCCTCAGCAAGATTCCTTCATGTTTCAGAAACAGGAAGTCAAGTCCAAGGCTGGTATCAATGGGGACCCAGATTCTATTATAACCATGAACAACTTACTGTGCTGGAAAATGGATGGTCTAGGTAGGGTATTTTCTTTATTGTGAAGACAGATTGTCTATGAATTAATATTGATCTACCCCCCAGGGGATATGCGACTCCTAAGGACTTGGAGAAGTGCACATCCAGAGATTATATGAATAATTGGCAATGCAGTGTATATTTCAATCTTCTACCACCCATCTGGGATGCATCCAGAGTCTGGATGAGTCAAGCAGCATATATCTGTGATAGATTAAAAATTGAATCCAAATTGGAAGACTATGGTAGGTGGTCTGGATCATGGAAACCAGCTGTTCAATTAATGTCGATTATAGCAGTAACCACAGAGGCAGAGATGAATCTCAAGTTCACAGCTTCTGCACAACAGAACATAGCTACTGCTGCATATTTCTTTCTCTGCCCTCCTCAACAAGCATTTACAACACAGGATTTAGATAATATTGTATATTGGTCACTGGATCCTAGTGGAAAAACACAACTCTCAGGGAATGAGGCCTTGGCTAAGGGTCTGCCTAGTATCAGAATTACCAGGACATTGAAAAGTGAAAAATGGAAGGCAGCTATCTATGAAGAGATGAGAACACTTCACATGGCTAAAGGATTTGACCCAGATACCCAGGATATTGCTAAGTCTCTTGGTTATCCTTTATTGAAGCTTATGTCTATAAAAGATAAAGGTATGTCCTCTGCCTTTGAGATGGAAGAAGTCCTGAAATAGCATTTGGAGAAGATATATTGAAATCGCAATCACCAAATGCTGAACCTGGAAAGAAAGGTGGTAATACTATCTTTTCTACTGGAACAAAAATCTGATTGAGTGTAATAACAGACTTCATTACCATAGTTCCAATATTGTTATTGGGAATCTTGATTTTCTTAGTTGAAATCAGCAGATAGCTACTCTAGTAATTTATTCAATTCAGCATGCCAAAAGGGTGTGACATCGGTGCCAAATTAAATTTTTGGCACTGCCTGTTGATGTACATGACTGCCGAAAATTTTCGGCCTATTTAGCAGCCCAGAGGGTCACCAAAATCTTTTGATGCTCTGATAGGTGTTTGACATTTGACATCTGCCGAAATATTTTGGTGTCAGAGTGCCAGTGTGACATGTGACGTGTGACCGCCGAGCTGAATAAATTACTACAGTATTGACTATCTATCTGTCACTAAGACTGTCACTAGGTGCACTGGCATATCTCAGAAAAAAGATAAAAAACTTTCTTTCTCTCATATCAAACTTAGGATGCAGCCAGCACAATTTGATTACTCAATTGAGATGCTAAAAATGAGGTGACACATGAAAAAAAGAATCAATTTATTGACTGAATGGTGGGTGGCTGGTCACCCTGGGAGGGCTTAACAATATTTTTGTAGGTAGTTATATTTTGGTTTTCCTATGCTCAAAATGGTTGTGTAGATGTAAAAATAGCCTCAGAATGCTTGGTTACCTATTGAATACGCTAGCAATGGGTCTCCGGATAACCTTGGGAGCCTTTTGCAAGCCATTACACTATCACAGCCTAAAGGAGAAGTGCATGTGCCAGGGCCATCAAGCTCCTCGTTGGTCAGAGGCTGTCATGTCACAGATATGTATAATGGGTCATCAAGCTGTGGTCTGTCCCACCAGCTGCAAATCAGTTGGTACTAACATGTGTGGGTGCTGAGAATGCTGCAAGCTAGTGGAAGCACCATGATTAGATATCAGAATATTTTCTTTTATAGTATATCATATCTTATCTAGTAGTCACATAGTTGGTTGGTCGCCTGGCCAAGGCTTCAAAACAAAAGGCTTCAAAACAAAAACCGGCATGCTGCCTTTCACATCGTGATACTTGTCTCTGGTTTTTACTTTATAGCAATAACAGTTTAATTGGTGAATAAATCATAAATGTGCCAGTTTTACCCTGAGTTTTTCTGCTAGAACCAAGACAGCTTTGTTCACATATTTTCTTTGCATTCAAAACTACCATTTATATACCAGGTTCATCACACAAATAATGGATAGATCAAGGGGGTGTCATGTGTCAAAAAGTGACAACAGGGATGGTCGGTCGGTCCCCCTTCTGGACCCTTAAATTTTTTTCTGTCAAGACTTTTTGGCTACAAATATGAGTCAAATTTGCCTTGTGGTGGGTTGCAAGTACAGTTTGGTGTACCATACATCCAGAGTTGAATATTAACAATTTTACGAGAAGTTTTTCTTCAGTATCTCATGATTAGATAGGTGATTGCATCAAATTAGGCTATATGTGGAAGAATGTCCTTGCTCTTGAGTAAGATTCATAAGGCAATGACTATATCAGGACCTATTATACAAGATATATGAATACATTATATTACTGGCTAGGAATATTCAATTATAGTCAAGTATTCCTAATTTTAGTGTAATAAGATGGCTCCTCCTGGGGTGGAAGTCCTGAGGGGTAGCCGTAGGATAACAATCAAGGAGATAAAGAAATGACCACCAGAGTGAGACTACAAGAGAAATCGTGAAGAAAGCTTCATGTGGATATTGTGCCGGGCATCCCCGGCCTGGCACGTGACTGGCGGACGCTGTCAGGGGAACCTCCCTTTCGGCCCCTCGGAGACGCCTCCGATTCCGGTTCCGACTCCGGTCCGGCCCTCCATCTTGCCCGCACAATCACCGATCCGTCAATGCCCTCCCAACAGTCGCCCTGGGACCTTGCCTGCGACGCCGCCCAAGCCTTCTGTGCCCAACAGCGGCAGCTATGGACAAGCAGTATATAGTCAGCTCCCTAGCAGGCGGACCCTTAGAGTTTCTTTTCTTTGGATCCTCCCCTGCTAGGTCAGCTTCATTTGTATTTGCTTACCAATGTTCACGCTTTGGATCCTCCCCTGCTAGGACCTTGATCTCAGGCCTCCGGGGTTGCCCTTACAGACGCCAGAAGCTCTGTCCTGGAAAGGAGGACAAAAGGCCCCAATTGGCACGCCCAGCAGCACGCCCCAAACAGGCAACGCAACGCGAGACTGAGCATTCAATTCTATCACCAAAGCAAAGCTGGACAGCCCAGAAGCACGGAGGAGGGAGGGCTGGGCGCAAAAGGCTGGTAAGGCAAGAGTGGGTGAGGAAGAGAGCTAGAGAAGTCGAAGACGCGGTAAATGCAAGAAGTCACAGCGGTCACAAAATATATTCAAATATTATTACAGAGGTGCCCCATACAAGCGCCATCTTATCTCCCGCTGACTAAGTACGCTCGTGCCTCACGCAGCCAGCTCACATCTCTGGAACATCTACAACACTATTTTGATCAATTAATCTCGTCATGGTCACATTAACATTTTTGCCTGAATTTTTGTGCCAGTCACAGGTCACAACAAGGTTCTAACTTCTAAGGTCCTAAACTGGCACAAAATGGTAAATTCTTAAATTTTCTGTGCCCATGGTCTGCAGACCTACCATATAAGGCAGGAGACCACATCAAAGTTGGCTATTGGCTAAGACTTAAGTTACACATTTCTGCCACAGGTGTCACAGGTAAAATTGAACAAAATACTACAGTATTCTTTTGCCTCAAGCATACAATATCTGATGTCTGCCTAACAAAGATAGTGACAATTGGTATCATTACCAAGGAATGGCTAGAGGCCAGTTTAACAAATAGTAATAACTCCTTAGAGTTCACATTCGAGATCACTACATTATATTTGAATATATTCATATCATATTGAATATCTCAGAGGAAATATAAATATAATATACTACAAATATCATATTCTTCCAAGTATGTGAATATGATATGAATATAGTATAATATGTCAATTCCATATTCTATTTGTATTTGGCTAGCACTACCCCAGGGCGGCCGTGCCTATAGACGTCGCGTGGCTCACTGCAGCACATGGAATCGTGTGCTATTATCTATCCGACAATCTAATCTAGCTGAAACACTGCGTCGTCATCTTAAGGCAGTATAATCCTTGGACCCTAGGATAAATGCTAAGTATCTCTCCCGTCTTAAAACTCATCGGGACCAAAGGTCGCCGGAAACGCCGAGACCGCGATCGGATCTTTGCGCCGATGCGGTCACGGTCATGGTCACGCTGTCATCTTCTTCTTCTCGGACGACGACCAGGTGGCACCACTCGAGACCGCATGTCGCGTGGAGCTCGCCAAGTCGCCGAGCCCCAGGAACTCTACCGACGACCGTAACACACCTGGCACGGCAGGTAATCCCACGACGCGGGAAGTGCAGACACTGCAGAGGCAGTTTCGATATTTTCGTTTCTGCCTCCGAGTCAACCCATCTGGTCTACGGGCGTATAATTGGTCATGCGTCAAGCCATACCAGTACCAAGAATCACAACTATCCTAGATGCATGGCTAAAACTGGGCAGCCAGTGCTGCACCCAGACGAACTTCGAGCGCAAATGATGCGAAAGAGAAAATCCTTGTCTAATCTTATCGATAAACTGCAACTATACTACTGGCGACGCTCCACCGTAGCTTCCCCGTAACCACCTCCCTCAATTGCTTCCACGCGACGCCCCACTTTACCGTCCATATAGCCGGATAAGAATTGCTATAAATCCTCTCTTCCTGTGGTACCGCATTCTTCAGTGTCTACATATCCTCCCCGGTCAACAGGCGCAACCATGCTGTTTTCGGTCGTGACTTCCCTCCTCCCTGCGCTCGCGCTGGCCATGATACCACCCACCCAGCGCGCTGCGGGCGGACTAAGCGTTAAAGTCTCCGTCCCCAAGAGCGACCTCGCCTCCACCGAATCGTTCGTTCTTACTGCGGCGGTGACGAACAACGGCGCGGAAAGCCTGAAGGTCCTTAAATACGGAACTATCCTCGACGGAAAGCTTCCGACGCGCTCGTTCACCGTGACGAGGGGCGACGTTGTTGTTCCTTTCAAGGGTGTGAAGGTGCTTCTACTTTTCAGCGTTTATGAGAGATCTGTCCTCCTGACCGTCATGGTAGCTTTCCGTCTCGCTCGCGGACGCGGACGAGAGCGCTTTCGTGACGATCCCGGCGGGCGAAACTGTTACAGTCACTCACGACGGTGCGTGCGCTGTTAGTTTTAATCCTCATGTCGAGTCATAACTTGTCTTACAGTCTCTGCTCTTTATGACTTCGCATCGCTTGGTGCCGGCGCGTTCACCTTTGCGCCGATCTCCTCCTTCCAGATCGCTCAGGCGAGAAAGGCCATCACGCGTCGCTCCGAACTCCAGCTCGTGGAGTTTGAGGCTGAGCCGGTCACTATCACCGTCAGTGGCGCTATCTCTAACCGCGCGCTGCCGCAGCGCCGGGCCGTCAACATCTGCAAAACATCGAGCCGCAAGTCTTTCATCAATGCTAGGTGAGCCTACTAGTATCGTTCTGTCTTCCATCAGCGCTGATGGTCCGCTTAGTCTCACCGAAGCGAAGGAGCTCGCCGCAACTGCAGCCTCCTACATCTCATCGCAGAGCTCATCCCGCCGTTCCAACTCAAGCGACAGTCTCTACACTAGCTACTTCGGGAAGAACCCCTCCTCGCGTGTTATCTCTATCTTCAACGCTGTCAAGAACGAAAAGAGCACCACCCGCAAGCTGAGCTGTGTCGACACCCATGATGCCTGCGATGGCAATGTCATTGCGTACACTCTTATTGCCACGACCGATGTATGATCGTCCTGCCTCTGTCCGAAAGTCGAACTTATTGCTCTTAGATCTACTTCTGCGACATTTTCTTCAAGGAAGTCGCCCACTCCAACCTCTGCAAGGGAACCACGGTTGCCTCACGCAGCGTTCGCGGCGGCACTACCCTTCACGAGGTTAGTGTTTCCCCCCATCCCGGTGTTGGCTTTTCCTCAATCGTGCCTGCCAGTTCACTCACGCGCTGTCCAAAACTGTCGATGTGAGCTATGGGTGTGAGAATGACCAGGCGCTGTCCGACGCACAGAAGATCCGCAATGCCGACAACTTCAACGTGTGTCCTATCTTTGAATCATGATGTTATCTGACTCGATTTATGCTCAAGTGCTTCGCTACTCAGGTCTATGCTGACACCGCATGCTCGGCGGGGGGTCCTCAGGACCCGGAAGACCCGGAGGACCTGGCAGACCCGGAATTCGGAGAAGACGTGTAAATTTGCCAGCTTTAAGTTAGTGTATGTGTACAAGCATAAAAATGTATACATTCGCGTTTTATTTATAAACTCATCTTAAGCTAACTCTCCGGGCCTTGTCCTGGCTTATAGGAAACAATATAACCATGCTATTTTTGTTTTTACATTGACTGTTTTACAACATGATCCGCATGTACGAGGGGGTTTTGAGGGTATTAATATTGAGCGAGAGAGCGATTAAACAACAAAGCCTCCATGGGTTCCCAGGTGGACTAGGCTACTTGGAATCAGCACGTTTACGAATGTGGAACGCAGAGGACTTACGGCGCCGGGTTCATCGGAGGGTATTCCATATTGACTGACGACATTGGATTCGGGGGCTCGTCGCCAACGAAGCCCATCGCGCCGTGACCGCCCGCAGCTGCACCAGCACCCATTCCTAAGAAGGGGGGACTCATCGCGAAATCGTCTACTGTTAGTTCTGGAGCGCCGTTGACGCCCGCACCGACACCGGCAGCACGCGACTGTGTGGTCGAACTGGGGCGGATCTGGCTTCCGAGACTTGGCTGCGATAGGGAGAGAAAGCGCTTCCATGCGGTTGGGTCGAGGAGGAGCGGATTAGAGTGGGAGTGAGTCTGCGTGTTAGGATTGGGGACGTTTTGTAGCTGGGACGGCGATATGGTTGGTTCGGGAGCTGGGAACGCCGAGCCGGCGGCAGTAATGGTGTCGATAGGGGAGGGCCCGGACATACCGAGGTCATCCATGATCATCGATGAATGATCCCGGTTGGGAGCCTGGAAGAGGAATTAACCAAGGTAGACGAAGGATCGGTCACAGTACCATTGAGCCCTCTTGTGGATGGAAACCATATGGAGGTTCCGGGAGTGTGGATAGCATCGACAGAAAATGACCGTCATAGAGCGGCGCCGGTTCTCCGTAGTCGAATGCCTGGAGGGGAGGCGGAAGCGGCTCATTTGTAGGGGAAGTCGAGATTCCCCATGCTGTTGCGGGGATTTCAGGCGGAGAAGTGGAAGTAGACGGGGTCCATTCGCTGACGGTTGTCCCCACGGAGACAGAACGGGATGTCAGGCGCTGCCGATGGGGATACGAGGCCTGCGGGGGCTCCGTATTTCCGACGGCATTCTCTGGACGTTCTTCTAACAAGGGTTCGCTACGCTCTCCAAAGCCATCGCTGAACTCTCCGAATACCTCGCCCTCGACGGTGAAAACGGCCTCTTTAGCGGCGGCCGAAAGGCCAAATGAGGAATCAAGCTCCCGATCCCCAAGCCCGAGCTGTTTCCGCAACTCATTCAGCTCATCCAGTATGTTTTCTTGGATGGCAAACATCTTGCGGAGCTCCTGTGCACAGACAAGTCGCTGGGCGCGCTGCTTGCGCGAATGAGCAATGGCCTCCGTGAGAATGACACTCTCGGATAGCTTGCGGGTAGTCGAAAGGGAAGGGGTAAGTCGAGCCAGGTCCTGTAATGCACCGTCAGTCTAGGAATACCAGGGATATGCGACAACCGGGCGCACCACGAAGAGGGCATTCAAAGTCTCGCGTTTCTGCTTCTCTACTCCGCCGCTGTTCATGCGGTCGTCCGCTGTGAAGGTCCGAGCGCGTTTGCGTTGTTTCGACCCACTCTCTCCGGCCATGGTAATGTCGCTCCTGGCGGAGGACGGATTGCGACCGCCAGCCGCACCCCTCTGCGACCGCCCTCGCGCAACCGGTGTTTCGTCCGGCGAGGACATCGTCTTGTCGTCCCCTGCAGAGAAGTGAGAGAGTGGGGAAGGAAAGTAATTTACAGCTTCCGATCATCTGTCAGGCGCCAAAGGCTTATTTTGCCAATCAGAATCACGCCAGCTGCGCGGTCGGGTGACCGCGAAGCTGGTGAGTGGGCCCCGAATCAAGGGGTCCAGGGCATGTGCTCGGGATAAGTCGGAGTCCGCATGAAAACGAAGGTGTCCCTGTATGTAAGTTTTCACTTCTATCACTGGAGACATTGTGAATTCGCTATGCAGAAGCACCCTCAACACGCACCAAGCAGGCCAGGTCCCCCAAAGTCGACATGAGAAACTTCTTAAGCGGAGTTGATGGAAGTCGGCTGTGCCCATCAGCGGGAAGATAGACATATGAGACGCCAGACGCAGCCCAGTCGTTTGCGTTGATATTTTGATTGGATGACTCCAAGATCAGGCCTAGACTCGATGCCACGTCATCGCTGTCACGTCACCGCTATCGCCTCTCTTCTTTTGCTCTTCTTCCTGTCTCGATGTTTCCCAACGGAACTCCACCCACTGGCAGACTCGCACCGGAGCTGACAGACCAAATCATTGACATTCTGCACAGAGACCACTTCTACCTCGTCACTTGCAGTCTCGTTTGCAAGGCGTGGCTGGCCAGGACGCGATACCATCTCTTCCAAAACGTCGTTCTGGCGCCACGTCTGACCAAGCCGCACACCCTCACCAAGTGCCGAGACTTTCTGACGCTGTCAAGAGCTCCATTGTGTACCTTCCTGCCGTTCGTCACCAAACTGTCGCTCGATCACGGATGCGAGCATATGGCACCTCTGATCCTCTCATCTCAGGAGATTTTCGGCATGCTCGCTGCGGTCGGAATAGCACCAATCACTCTCGTCCATCGCTTCCTTGAACACTCTCCCCTTATATCCGCTAGTCCGCACCCATTCTTCGCAAAGTCGGTCACGCACTTGGATCTTTCGTTTTCTAAATCGGGTGACTGGCGGTCGGTGGTCGAATACATATGTGCTTTCACCAAGCTGGAGTCGTTGCGCATCCGCGACGACAATGTCTGGCGAGCTAGCTGGCACGACAACCTGACAACGATGGCGACAGCTCTCCCAATGCCTCTGCGCGACATCATCATCGACAATCCTACGCTGTTGATGTGGCTTAGCGAGGGCCATGCTGCCAGAGGCTCGCTACATAAGCTTCGACTTTCATTCAGTCGCCACTCCTCCGGTATCTGGCCCACGATCAATGCCTTTTTCCGTCATCCGTCTGCTCAAGCATTGGAATGGCTCGAGCTAGACCGCACTCGGCGTGAGTTTACTGACTGAGAAACCTATCGTGCTGAAGATTGACACTGCAACAGTCCCATCACAATTAGATGAACCCCTCGAAGGTCCCGAAATCGCGTCTCTGTCTAATTTGAAGCACCTTCAAATCGCTTTTTGGATGAATGCAGCAGGAAGCTTGCTGCGCGATCTTCTTGGACGACTTCAAAATCCGACGAACCAAGTAATACCACTCGAAACTCTGACTCTCAAAGTCAGCTTTCCGCCTGCGGCAGCTTATATTTCCAAGGATTGGCAGGCCATCGACGCATTTCTTGGTTCGGAGCTAACCTTTCCCCATCTACGCCGCGTCGAGTTCGCCGTCAAAGAGTTAGCGCCGGAGATCTTGAGAAGGAACCATCTCCCCAGTTTGGCGGATCAACTGAGCATCTTGGCGTTTGAAGCGGAACTCGACCGGCCTATCGCGTCTGCTTTGCGGAGCGACCTGCGGCGTTGCGGAGAACGCAGTTTGCTCCATATCGACGAAGGATTTCCATTGGCAGAACCTAAATCCCCGGAGCACCTACTTCCACCAATCATCGAGATCAGTGACTCTGAAGATGAGCAGATCCTGGTAGGACAAGGTGATGAGCCCTTCGAATATCCAACCTGGAACTACTAAGGTGGTTTTTAGACGACGAAAATCAAATTCCAGTGATTATTGTTACTGATACCGATGACGAATCGGAGTAACGACAAACAATGTTAAACCAAGACAAAGAGAAGGAATGAATTGTGATTGTGGTTAGTACTAAATGATCGTTTTACTTGGAATCTGTACCGGCCATGGCTTCATTTGATCTTGCGATCTACTTATCTCACGTGCAGGGTGCGTGTTTGAGGGTTCGCGCTCAAAACGAGAGGCTCATGTTCAATTATAGGCAAGAGCCCCAGGTTTTTGGAAAGAGGCTTCATATAGACCCGAGCGGTGGCGTCGGCCAAACTAGCACCGGTGTCTGGAGCGTGCTTCTCTTCTGCTGGACCACTATAAGTACAGTTGGGTCTTCGCTGCCTACCTGTAATTTCGTTCTGATGCACCCCCTACACATCTGCCAGTGGGTTATCATCGCTGCAGCTTCGTTCAGCTTGGCTCTCGTCAATAGTGAAGATACATCCAGCACACACGTAGATGGTGGGTTTTTCATCGCGCTTTCCCATTCATCCACTTATATTTCTCGCGATAGACTGCAAAGGAACGGGCACGCTCTTGGCAGGAGGGGTACATGTTCTGACTTGCCCTCTTGCTTCCTCCTCCTCTATAATCAAAGGGTTTAACTCTGCGTCGCAACCGCTGGACTCGGGAAGCGCCACATGTATGTCTATTCTACCAGCCTTCAACTTGGATTCTTAAAACTGCAATACCTACCTGTAGGCACCCCGTCCTGCCTGACTGGGTCTCCGAGCAGCGGTCCCGTTCCTGGCGACTGCACCGTCATCGTCGACGTCATGCTCTACAACGGGCAGTACCAACGTCCGTCTCGCTCCTTTGTCCTCCTTGTACGCACGCGACGATTTCCCCCAGGCAATTTCACCCTCCCGGGCGTGGCGAACAACTCCTACTCCTACACCGCAGCCACATATCACACCTGCCAGGCCATCCTTGCCAACGCCGACAGCGTTCCGCTGACGTTCACGTTTGATGATTGGGCGAACCTCACGGCGCAGACCCTGGCGGCGTGTGGCGCGGCGCAGAACGCCCATGGCGGGGTGTGTGCGCCGCAAAACCGCGCGTGGTTCATCGAGTGAGTACTAGTACACCCCGCTCTTCCGCCGAATTAGTTGCTCATTTACCACAGGGTGCGCCATAGCTAGTGTAGCGTTACTTACGCGTTATCATCGATGTGTTGTTTTTTGAAATGATAAGTATGTACCTTACTGTCTTGACCACAATTCAAAAAAGCTCTGTGTTGCATGATCTGGAAAGCGAGAGTACTTTATACATTATCTCAGGGGCGTAAACTATGAACCACACTCACATTACTCGGACAAGAGCTTTCGTATCACACTACAAGCCTCTGTTTCCCCTTTCCAGGCGTCGTCCTCCCATCGTCCTCCTCGCGCTCCGGATCATATCCATATCCGTACGAGCTACAGTCCACATCCCCGTCCTGCGAGTAGTACGGCGTCACCGTCGTCAGCCGACCCCCACCCGCCCCGTCTTCGTCCGGTCCATCATCTCCGTATCCAGGCCCGTGGGTGTCGAGGTCAGTGAGCCCCGCACGGCTATGCGAGTCGGGGGCATACGAGACGCTGCCAGTTGGTGCGCGTAAGTTGAGCATGAGGCGGGAAATGAGGATCGCCGAAGTTCTGCATCCTGTTAGTCGGCAACTAAGGATCCCGCGGGAGGGGTAGACGAACACGTTGGTAACAGATGTCCCTGAACCACGGAGGAAGGGCTATAGAGCGGTTTAGTTCCCTGCCACGAGAGCAATTGCGGCTTTACCCTTGCTATCTACAGTTACATATTAGCGAACGCATTCTAGCGGGAAAACCAGCGGTTGCTCACCGTATATGTTGCTATATTAGCCCCGTTGCTTAGTACCATCAGGCTAGCACCGTTTATCAGCACCGCTAAAATTGGCCAGGCCGAGAAGTTAGAACTCACGCGAAGTAGACGGAACCATCCCGCAAAAGGATTTCGATTAGCCCGCTTGCGCGGCCCTGCTGGCCAGAGTGCAGCTGGAGCGCCTTGTACAGCGTAAGGGCAAATATTACTACATCAAAGACGAGCTAGTGAGGCGATTCTAAGCCATCAGAGGAAAGGCGTGAGACGACACGCACCATGCCTGCCCAAGCCTCTGCAAGCCCTGCTCATAGTGATCAATTAACGGTGGAGTACTGAGAATGGTGGACATACGATGGGCTCTAAAGAGTCTTCGGTTAGCCTTCAAACAAGGACAAACGCAGGTAGACATACTTTGCTTGACCAGTGGCGACCGGGCACCCGAATGCGGCAAGTTCGGGCGAAAGATTGTCGACGTCATTGCCGCTGAGGAGGCGGACTACGGCAAGGACAAATGCCGTGACGGTCACCAAGAGCACGGACGCGAGGATGAAGCGAGAGCGGGCGTAGAGGGCATATGTGCGCATGATAAGCATAACTAGGAGCAGATTGAGAACTCAGAGAAGGAGAGTGAGGGAGACGACGCACCGGCGACGAGGACCTGCGAGACGAGGGCAAAGTACTGGTGGTAGAGCATGAACCGACGGCACCTGATGCTCCTCAGTGAACGGAAATCATACGGAGTATCGGGAATACGCACATCTGGAAACGGTTAGACGATATGTACCAAGACGATTCATGCACGTACGACACGCATTGCCGGGTCCGTTGTCGTGGAGTAATACTGCACTATGATGGGTATAGTGCCAAAGAGTGCGAAGTACCGGATGAGGAAGAAGAGCATGGTGCCCGCCTTCCAGCCGCCCGAGCGGGAGCTGGAGCGCCGGGAGGGCCAAAAGCCGGCGACTTCGCGGGAAAGCGTCAAAAGGTGGTCGTAAACAAGAATGGCTGGCGTGAGTCAGCCTTGCAGGAGGAGAAAAAAAAGGAAGGGAGCGAAGGAGACGCACTGTAGGGGATGATGATGAGCAAGCGGGACTTGTAGCTGCGCATTGTGGTCAGGGCTGCAGGCGGGAGGAATAACATTTTAGAGGACGCACATATCCCAGTAGATACCAGCCTCATCCTGAGTTTCTACCATCCGGGGGGCCTCGGGGCAATGGCATGCACCCGCTCTTCCTACTCGTCGTCGTGGCTGAGAGCAAGAGAGGAGCGTCGAAGGCGCCCTCGCCTTGGTTTTTCGTCCTCAGCGTGCGGATCATACTGATTCTGTAGTAAAGAAGCGAAAAGGGTAAGGGAAGGAAAAGAAGCCTGATGTAAGAAATTGATGTCACAGTGTGATGATGATGTGATACCACATGTGCCAATGGATCCGGCGGGGATTGGCGGGCCAGCTTTCCACCGAATCAACATAAGCTCCGCCCACGATATGTGCTAGGTCAGACAGAACACGCCAAAAGGACATGCAACTGAGCAGGCTGCTACCTCTGGAGTAATGCACGCCGGTCGCAACCCTTACTGATCAGGGCCTCTTGCCTGTTTTAAAAGCCGATCTTCCGTCATGAAACGTGGCCCTCTTTGCATGGCAGCGGCAGCCACGTGGCAGCACCCTCACCCAAGTAAAAATTGAGTAAAAAGGTAAAATTAAGGTTGACCGACGCTATATTCGGCCCGAAGGTAAAATCAAACTGCGGCTCCCACTTTCAGAATGTCGCAAATTTAGTTTTCTCTCGATCAGGCCTGATTGCCTGATTCGGCCTGATCCACTCCCAATCAAGCGCAGATCAGGTCCTTCAGGCAATATCAAGGCTGGCCGTGGACTGGTCAGCACTTGACCAGGAACTGATCAAGGTAGACAAGACCTGACCAAGGTAGATAGATGAAATATTATTCTACTATAAACAAACATGCCCCTCGGCATTGAGACAGCGTAAAAACATGTCACCATCAACGACATCAACCAGGAAGTGAGACAATGTATTCGTACGAGGCGAGGGAGAGACTGGAGCCAGGAGAGCTCCCCGAATAACCCAATCCATCAAAAGAAATGCCAATCCCTTCTCCTCAAACACACGACACCCCTCCCATGAGTTGCGTGGCCGCCATTTGCTCGGATGCATTGTGCTGACCATTGCAATATCGACGATCCGGCCCGAGGGGAGCTGACAGCGGATGAGGGAGCGTAGGGCGAGCACATGCCAAGGGTGCAGCGTCAGTATTGAACATGACGCAGTCAAACCGTGGCCCACGGCGATACCAATTGTGGTTGCAGCGGAGGATATCTTCGCCCTCTTTCCAGTCCTCCTTTGATTGATAAGAAATGTAGAGACAGCGGAAGGTCTCAACCTTTGTCAAATGAGAATGACTGAATGAAAAAAGCAATGTTAACGTACTGTTATCAACTGCTCGTACAGAATCTGCTCGTTCGGAAATTGCCCCATCAAAAAGTTGCGCAAACGGGGGTCGAAGTCTTTGAAGTCAGGGTCCCCAACTGCATGGAGGTCCTCGTAGCTTCGGCTGTCCCCACTCCGGCCAACAGAGCCAAACACCCAGTGATTGTCGCCCGCGCTAGGTGGTAACTTGGACCGAGGGACACGTCGCACACCACCAAGACGAAATTGGTGAGCTTCGTTCTCCAAATCGTGCGCATCATTATCGGATATCGCCAGATCGCCATGGAGTCGATGGAAGAAATCATCAATAACCAATCTGGTACGTGCAATAGCTTCCTGCTCTTCGTCCCGGTGTGCAATCTGACCTTTTCAATAGTTGTTGCTGGTACTCAAATGAATTACTAACCTGCTCTTCCGCCTCCCGTCCATTAGTCTGCCTGTAATGCTGACCAACTTCTTGATGGGTTCCTTCACCTAGCCGTGTAGTCGCATGGCGTGGGACACCTTTCATTTGCGCATCTGTGACTGCATAGCGCTTGAAGTGTTGCTTCGGCACGTTGAAATTCTTGTTATACTTTTCAGCGACTTTCTGGGATTGTGTGAAGCACGATACAGAATGGTAGGCAAGGCTTACCTCGCACGCTTTCTCATATGTCAAGACACTGTCTTCGAAGACAACCTTCCTGCTCTCCGTCATCACCTTTAGACCCGCCATCATTCGGAAATGTAGGAGTGCTCGTATGCAAGGAATGAGTGGCGATTTCTCGGAGAGTAGTGGGGTAAGCACGAAAAGAATACACTAATCCGAAAAGCTCAGCTAATGTTCTAATTGGAACACCACCGAGGGACTTGCCTTGAGGATGTCGAAGTGAGTTTGCCCGTCTGCAAAATCCTTGGTAAGTGGGTCATTTACATGCTTCAAGCCCCGCCAGCGAGGGAAGTTCTTGAATCTAGAACGAGCAATAAGTTGTGTATTCACATGGACAGAATAAAGGACTTGCGCGGTCGTGAACTCGGCTGCAATTCCTCGTTGGTTAATCATCTTGATTGTAAGCGGCCACAAATGATGTGCCCACATTCCCGACTCGGAAAAGTGAAGCAGGTCATATGTTACCGCCTGGTATGGGTCAGAAAACCGAAAGTTCCACATGAAATGCTACAAGAAACATTGTAAATGACTCGGAAGAGAATAATCGAAGTATAAAATGCACCTTCATATCGTGTAGGCCATACTCTTTCAAGATTTCATTTTTTGCAGTTGTTGTCAATGCTGCGCGGACACGTCGAATGACCGCCCGCATATTCTCGGTCGTGCGGAAGCGTAGTCTCCTCATGCAAGCAAGCGAGCAGGTCTCGGTGCTGGAGACACCGAGGACACATACGATTAGCGGGCCACGCCCGACAACAAGTAAAGCTCCAGGCTTCCTCGAAATCTAATGACTCGATGAGGAAGCCCGGGTAGAGAACACGAGGAATGCCGTCGCCACACATCAAGGTTTCTCCCACCCACGACCGCTTGTAAAGTGGCTCGAATATTTTGTCTAGGACTTGTTGATAGATTTCGCGTTTAAATTGTGCGAACTCGTAATTTTGCCGCTCGGTACGGGTCTCCGGGTCACTTGGATCATCAACCTAGCGTACCAAGAGTCAGTCAATGACTGCAGACCAGGATTGTAGCACTACCATGACCATGAAGCCGATAAAGACACCGCCCCCATTTCCGGACGCGTTTCGAATCTCGGGAGGGGAGCCACAATGCGCGAAGAACGATGGGAAACATCTTGACATGCTTCGTGACCAAACCTTTGTCAAGCCAGAGATGTAGAGGGAGCCAGCAATGGGTGTACGGGTTTGGAGTCGGCAACTCAGACTGTAAATGAGTCTAGCTTATCAAATGAAAACCTTCGTGAATTTTGAGACTCACATCCACTTCATACCATCTATCGGCTGTACATGGTTCGTCGATGAACCGCTCTTCGAGATCCCCTTCGCGGTAGAAGCATTGTCGTGATTTAAAGGTACTAATATGGGCAAGCGATGGGTCAGTGACGAGGGAGCATATCCACTCCCATGGATCACGATACGAGAATGTGTAGGACTTTTGTGTTCCCCACAACTCTGCGCTAACAGTCGCCTGCTTAAACTGAAAAAAAAATGAGCTCAAACTTCGAGGCTGTGTGAGCAGACTACCTCCAACCCCAATTTTCGCGCTCTTTTCAGTACTTTTCGATATTCCCGATAGCTCTTCATCGTCACATTCGAGCCATCTTTTGACCAGCTCCCCGTTATTCCCCGTAGCTGCTTGTCGATGGTCTTTCCTGACATTACATCCCCCACCGCCCGTTTCCGTGTACTCGAAGTCAGCGAGCGTCGCCCAGGGCATCCAGGGTCGAGCGGCGTTGATGATATTGGTAAGACAATATGATTTGTTGCTGGTTGCACCTGTGCTCGCAGATATGGTTGTCCCATCGGTATTGACGACCATAGTTTGGGGCCCAGAGAGCGGGATAATTTGTGGTGAAGCGGAGACATCGTTTGGGTGTAGCTGAATTCGGATAGTGACATGTGGCGGCGGCTCTAGAGTAGCAGGAGCTGAATTGTTTGGTGCTGGGTGAAATTCCAAGTCGTCGTTTACCTACAATGGAATTATCAGTTTCAACTGAGCAAGAACAACGCATGTACACACCACCAGTTCTCCAATGCTATTATCCTCTTTTTCTCTAGCGCCACTACTTGTCTCCAGCACCGTTCTCCTTCTCCGTCGTGCTTCATACTGGAGATCGTTCTGTCGCTCAAATTCTCGTTTGCACGCGTGTTCATGCTGAGCAAAGCCGCGGGAAGATATGTGCCAGTCACACCAGCGGCAGTGGCGGATGGTAGACTGGGCTTCTCGTTGAGAGGTCTTCGTGCTTTTACGCGGCATGGAAGGAGTGGGTTGATGACATCAGGGTCATGTGTCAATGTGACCCTTTTGCTTTGGCGCGACTTATTCTCCCTTGGCTTCCCTTCGACGGACAGCAAGGGGGAATGTCCCGTTCTTCCGAGCCCCCGCCACAACTTCTGGAGGATATGAGTCGGGATGAGTTGCTTGCTGTGCGTCACAAGCTGCCAGTGTATTTGGTTGTCTCACAATTTTTTCCAGGCAGCTCGTGACAAGGAATGTGCATTGAACGAGGCTAATACTCGTCTTCAAGCCATGGAGCGCCGTGAAGCCCTCAGTGACACCACTAACCGACCTCCCGGACGGCCCAGAAAGCGAGGTCGCCATGACTATCGTCTCGACTCAGATGAAGACGATGAACCTGAATTTGAGAAGGTGAGAGGTGTGGAGATAGATCCCGAAGATGTAGTTCGCCAAGCTGGAAACAAATATGGAATTCTCGAGGGAATGTGGCTTTCAAACAAGGCTGAAGCCATTTTGAAGACACCACTCGATGAGACTTACGACGAGTCAAAGCGGTTTGCGAGCCTGGCCAACAGAATTCAGGGAGAGCTGCGGGGTATCATCAACATGCTTCCTGAGGAGTACGGTGGTGTAGACGAGCGTAAGAAAGGCTGGGTCTCGAAAAAGGTGTGTCAACTTTTTCATATGCTCCTCTCGTCTTTTGACCATTGCTTCCTCTAGTTTAACAATGGACTCAACAGCCAGCGTTGGAATACTACGAAACGCATCACTCACGAAATAGATGCTGTCTACCGGGCGCATATCAAGACTGGAGAAACTGACGATAATGGAAACGAGGTTCCA